CCCCTCCCTGCCTCGCCCTCCCTCCCTCCCTGCCTCGCCCTCCCTCTTCAGCCCTCTCGCTCCCTCCCATTTTCTCCCTTTCTCCCTTTCTCCCTTTCTCCTTTTCTCCTTTTCTCCCTTTCTCCCTTTCTCCCTTTCTCCCTTTCTCCTTTTCTCCCTTTCTCCTTTTCTCCCTTTCTCCCTTTCTCCCTTTCTCCCTCTTCCTCTCTCCCTCTCCCTCTCCCTCTCCCTCTCTCCTCTCTCCCTCTCCCCATCTCCCTTTCTCCCTCTCCCCTCCCCCTCCCTCCCTCGCTCCCGTCTTCCCTCTCTCCCTCTCTCCCTCTCTCCCTCTCTCCCTCTCCCTCTCCCGCTCTCCCTCTCTCTCTCTTCCGCTCTCTCTCTCTCTCTCTCTCTCTCTCTCTCTCTCTCTCTCCCTCTCCCTCTGTCCCTCTCTTCCTCTCCCTCTGTCCCTCTCTCGCCCTCTCGCCCTCTCACCCTCTCTCCCTCTCCCTCTCCCTCCGTTGGCATTCTTCTCTTTCATCTCTCTCGTGATGCTTATTCTATGCGCTGGGATTCACTTTTGCCCGTCTTACCTGTGCTCTTGTTCTGTTTGTTATTTTTTGGTCATTTTCTGATCTTTTTCGCACATTTGTCTGTGTCTTTCCATTTCTCCTTCTCTTCCTTGTCTATGTCTCTTCGTTGTGCTCTGGAGCAGGTGCGGATGCTGGAACGGGGTTTGCGAGGATCATGGCATCCCGCAATTGTGACAGACGCTAGCCCGTCCAAAAGGGTGGTTGAGTACTTGGAGCTGCTAACGAGTGATGGAAAGGAAAAGCTCAGCGAGATTATAAATGTACGGTTCGATGAGTTGTGGGATGCACAATACAATGGGAAGCCTGTGAAGCTCGAGAAGAGAGGCAGGCGTGGGCGAGTTCGGCTGCGGCCTGTGCCGCCTCATGTGGACTTTGAGGCCCATGAACAAGTAGCAGGGTGCCAGGTTGACGTTTTATTCGACGATGCATGGTGGGAGGGAGTCCTGCAGGAGGACGTTGGCAACCCGGAGAATATGAGTGTCCTTGTCTCCTTCCCTGATGAAGGCGATTTCCAATTTATACCCTTTAGGCATATGCGAAGGGGTATGGATTGGGATCCCGTTGAAAACCGTTGGATGCCCCGACCACGGATTCCCCCCAATGAGTTGGCAGTCATAATGGAAGGGTCCCTTGCCACCATGGCGAGGGCGTCGGGAGGAAGATCTCGCCAGTCAAAGCCTTCTCTCCCACCTATCTCTGATGATGGAGATGTGTCGCTGGTCGGAGAGATGGCTGCCCGTCCTGCTACGGCGACAGCAGCTCCTTCGGATGCCCGTGCTGTTGGCAACACCCTCTTAGTTGAGGATATCGGTGCGGCGGGGGATGTGGTTGCAGATTCGTCAGGACTGGATGGGGAAGAAGTCGCCTTAGTAAGTGAGATGGCTGTGGGTGGTGCTGCATCGACATCGACTCTTGATGGGGAGGGGGACGACACCTCGTCAAATGGGGAGGCAAGCTCCGAGGAGGAGGGGAAGAAGAGGAAGGGTGTGGAAATGGTGACGGTGGTGATGCAGAAACAGTCAAAAGGAGCACGGGCGCAGATGACGAAGAAGAAGGGTAGTAAGAAGAACCGAGGGAAGGGTGGGGTTGGGCCCGCCAAGGCCTCTGGGTTGGGTAAGGGGGCAAAAAAGGGGGCAGTGTTGAAGAAAGGAAAGAAGAAGAAGAAAGAGAGAAGGCCGAGGGAAAGGGAATCCTTGCGTGTCCGGTTGCAGAATCAGCAGCAGCAGCAGCACTCAGAGGTGGTGACAAGAAAGGCAGCAGGAGTTACTGCTTCCAAGTCTCAGAAGGCCCAGAAGAAGCAGCAGAACAAAAAAAAAAAGAACAAAGCGGTGCAGGCAAATAGAGTGGTTATTGTGGATGAAGATGAAGATGAGGAGGGTTGGGAGGATCTGGGCGAGGAGAGTGAAGAGGAGGAAGACGGACGACCTCGATCAGAGGGCCGATGTGCGATGCGCAAAGTACAGAAGCAGAAGATGGTGACAGAGCTGGACAACGAGGTCAGGAGTGAAGACGGCGGGGCTGCCGGGGGTGGGGAGGTGCTTGTCCTGGGAGGAAGCGGATCAGAAAGTACATGTGGGTTGGCGGCAACACCACTTGTGGGCAATGCAGATTGCTTGGAAAAGCGCGGAGAGGGAAGCGACGCCTCTACCGTACTGAGTCAACAACGCAGCAGTGGAGGCGGAGAAGCAGCAGGAGCAGCTGCGCCAGCAGCAGGAGTAGCAGAAGAAGGACAAGGAGGGGCAGGAGTAAAATTAGGAAGTGTGGCAGGGGAGGAAACAAGAGCGGAGGAAGGGATGGAAACCGGTGTTGAAGGGGTGGAACTGGGTGTTCACAGGAATGACAGTGGTTGTACCCCTTCTTTGATGGTGGAGTGCCAGGCGTCCCCGAGCAGTGCTGTTGTTTGTGGGAGTGAGGGGATGCGAAATGCAGGATTGGCTGGGGTCAACGTGGAGAGGGAGACAACTACTGAACCCCCTGGTCAGAGACTCAGCTCTCCCTTACTCCCGTCGACTGCCAAAGATCCTTCTGTGGGTGGATTTGGCACCGCAGTAAGACGGAAAGCTGTGGATGAGCTGGTGAGTGCTGGGTGGACTATCAATGTGCGGACCAGGAAGCAGGGAAGACGCGCTGGAAGTTATGATTTATTCTACGTCTCTCCAGATGGAGACATCTTAAGGTCACTGGTCCAGGCGATGAGGATGCACAAAAAGAAGGTGGGCGAGGGTAGTGGTGAGAGGAGTGGGGACGCATGGACGGAAGAAGGGCTACAGCGGCAATCACAAGGTAGGAAGAAGGACAAGAAGAAGAAGAAGCCAGCGGTGAAGGAGGGGGAAAAGAAGGTAGACTTACAGAAGGTTGAGGATAAGGAGAAAGTAGAGAGAAAGGTGGAGGGAAAGAAGCTGGACGGAAAGAATGCAAAGGAAAAGAAAGCGGAGGGAAAGAAGGTGGTTGAGAGCGAACATATAATGGAGATTAAAGAAAAGGTGGGTGAGGAGGGGAAGGAGGGGGAGGAGGAGGAGGAGCAGGAGGAGGAGGAGGGGATGGTTGAAGAGACGAAAGAGGAGGAGGAGAGCCGGGTGGAGAAAGTGGGGGAGGAAATGGAAGAGAAGGGGGAGGACGAGGAGGAGGAGGAGGAGGAGGAGGAGGAGGATGAGGAGGAGGAGGAAAAGGTGGAAGGGGGGGAAAGAGAAGAGCGGGGAAAGGGGGTGATGGAGGGGACGGAGTGGAAGGGGAAGGAGGGGGACAAGGAGGACGAGGAGGACAACGAAGAAAACAAAGCGAAGGAGGAGGGAAAGGAGGAGGAGGAGAAGGGAGGGAGGCAGGAGGAGGAGCGGGAGGAGGATCGGAGGAAGGAGGAACGAGAGGAAAAGGAGGAAGAGGAGGAGGAGAGGGAAAATGATCCTCATCATGATGTGGAGAAAGGGGAGGTTGAGGGAGGGAAAGAGGGCGATGGACGGAAGGAGGAGGAGGAAGGAAAATGCATGGAAGAGGTCAGGGAGGCAGATGTAGGAGAAGGAACAGGAGAAAAATCGATTGCAGAGAGGTTTTCATACAGGAGGATCAAGAAGACAAAAGAGAGGAGGAAGGTGCGGGTACAACGGCCGGCTAAAAAGACCATTGGGGATGTGGAGAGAGCGGGGAGAGTGGAATCGGACCCGGATTCCGCTGGCGGGTTGAGAAAGGATGATCGAGTTGATGTCCAGAAGAGGAGAAGTGGCAGCTGTGGCAAAGGTGACTCAGCTGCAAAGGGGAAAGGAAAGCAAGCCGTCGGTAGAAGGGTGTCGATCAATTCCGCACAGGAAAAAACAGAGACAATAGAGATTGATGTCGACCTCCTCACTGATGAAGCTGGTAGGGAAGATGCGGACACAGACGGAACAGCCACGGTCAACACAGTGGATGTTGATGTGGAGGTAAGGAGTGTGCAAGGGAAGGAGTTCGGAAAGGAAGCCCAGACTGACCAGGCTGCTAAGGAGGAAGAGCAGCACAAGGCAGTTGAGACGCTAGAGGAACAGGTGCTACCTTTTAACTCCTCACTGAGAACTGAAGGTGGGAAGATTGAGATGATGCATGCTGCAACATTGGATGGAGGAGGAGAAGCAGGAGCTGCCGGGCTACTGAAGAAACCTCAAGATGAAGTGCGGACTGGTATGCTTGACTTACGGCAGTATGGCAATGAACATGATGACGAGCGTGTGCGAACCATGGGTGGTGCATGTGTTGAGGAATCGAAAAGAATCTGGCCCAGGGAGGGAGGCGCCGGGCCTGTCTCTGCTGAAGGTGCCAATTTCATTGCTCGATCTAGTGCTGCAGGTAATGCTATCGCAGTTCAGAAGTGGATGGAGCGGAAAATCGATGACGGTGAAGGTTTCGAGGAGGCAGGAGGGGGGCAAATTCGTGGCATTGCCAAACACTTCAAAGAGTGGGAGAGCATGTGCGATGCGGATTTGATGTCTCTGCAGCGCGGGGACATGGACATAATTGAACAGCAGGGGACAGTGGCCGCTGTGCTTTCCAATGCAAGTGAGGAAAGAAGGGGGGTGAAAATTACTTCAGGTGAGGGGTGTCAGGAAGGCCTTGATGCTAGAACCTCACATCATATAGGGGGCTCATCTGAAGCAGGAGTAGTGCGAGTCTTTGGAGGATCAATGGATCTGAGGAAATGCGTTGTTGAAAAAGTGATGGGAGAAAGTAGATGTAGCGGAGATATCCAACTTTCTCGTCCAACTGCACGCGTTGATGGCAGCGGTCGTAAGGAAAGGGCAGAGGAAGAATTCAGGGAGAAGGTTGGCATGCAGGCAAGGGAGGTGGGGAGGAAGGCTGTGGCAGCTGAGAGAAAGGTTGCGGAACCAGGAAGAAGTGCGATCAGTGGTCTAAGTAAGAAGGGTAGCGGGCAGCACGACGAGGACGGATTGGAGAAGAGAGGTGGTGTGGATGAGCATTGTGGTGAAATAAGGGGTGTAGGTGATGTGAGTGAAGGGATGGCATCACCTGGGAGAGGGTCGAAAAGGAGGAGGGAAACTGGGGGGATGAAATCGGCAAGGAATGGTGGGGAGGCATGTGGGGGAATGGAAGGGTCAGGGGAGAAGAAGGAGGGTGGAAGAGTGGGCAGCACATTCGTGAAGCGAGGAAGGAGGCCATCAGGGAGCGGGCTGACGAAGAAGGGAGTGGAAAAGGATGAGGGTGGTGGGGGAGGAGGAGTCAAGAGAAAACGAGAGAGGGAGCAGGGTGGGGAAGGTGGAGGGGCTTCTGCAGGGAAGAAGGTCAAGAAGAGCAAGAAAGCAGTCGCAGATGGTGGAGGCGGATCGTTCAGTGCGCGTGTGGACAGGGGAGGGAGCGGGGTAAGGGGTACAAGGGCACCCTTGGAAAAGAGGCTAAGGGTGCGCTCAGCTATGGAGATGGTTGAAGCAGAGCAAGGCAAGTCAGCAGGAGGTCTAAGCTGTGTGGGAGGGTCGGGAGCAGCGATGGGGGGAGGAGGAGGCGGAGGCTCTGCGGCGAAGGGAAAGGTGGGCAATGCTTCTGGCGTCAACAGTGGGATTAACGGTGGCGCTAGCGGGTTAGACCACAAATCTGAGAAGAAATCAGCCTCTCTTTTGTCAAAGCTGATTGATGTTGGAGTGATCGCTGAAAACGATGTGCTGAAGTATGTGAACAGGAGAACCAAAGATCCAGCCCAGTGGGGCATAGCGAAGAGAGAGGGAATAGAGTGTCGGTGCTGTCAGGGTGTGTTTTCAATCGCGGAGTGGGAGAGACATGCAGGAAGCACAGGACATCGCCCTTGTGCAAACATTTTCTTGAGTGATGGCAGGTCGCTTGCCGAGGTACAGAATGAAGCTGGGGTCTCGGATTGCCATGGCGACAACCTTGAGCGAGATGAACAAGGAAAAGAGATTGACTACAGCGATGACCTTTGCCGTGTCTGTGGAGATGGCGGAGAGCTGATCTGCTGCGATGCTTGCCCATCCACTTTTCATCTTCCTTGCATTGGCTTAGAGGTTAACTCTGCTTACCCTCTAACCTCTCACTACAAAGAGAAGTCATTGTTGTGTTGTGCTATCTTTCCCCTCTTCTTTACTCCCTTCTTCTTCGCCCTTTCTCCCCAGTTTCTCCCCACCCTTCCTCCTGCTCTCCCCTCCCTCTTCCCGATCCTCGCTGCCATATACATCTGTTTGTACGCTGTCCTCCAGCTCTGGTCACCATGGATTCTCTTTCCTTTGCCCCAGGCCATTGGGAGAGAGTGCCTCTGTTAGTCTGTGATTTTGCATCTCACTCTGTGCATGGACACATGCGTCTTACCCATGCTTGTCCCTCCCTCTTCCTCGTGCTCTCCACCATACACATGCATTTATAAGGTGCCATCCGATCTGGTCTCCTTTTTCTCGACTAATGTGAGTAGTCTGGAAATGCCAGACCAGAACTTGCCCGTTTCTGTAAGTTTGCATCTCGCCTTCTCTGGACAGTCGTGCACACATGTTTGTTTGGTCTGTTGGTTGGTTGGTTTGTGTGTGTGCGCCTCTGTGTGTGTGTGTGTGTGTGTGTGTG